CACTGGGAGGGTTGCACGTTGCATTATGGGTGTGGAACGCCCGCGCACGACCCCTCTGTTCTCCCCCCCCCCCCTTATGGCAGGCGAGCCAAAAAAGGTTCGCCATCGCTGTTCTATGTCTAAGTTGAAATTGGCAGAATGAATCCATTTTCCTGGGTTCATGGCAAGCAGTAAGATCAAATAGGTACAAAATGCCAAATAAGCAAAGTGACCAATTAAAGTAAATGTAGCACAGTGTTGCCAGCTCACTTTGTAACACAAAGATTGTAATCATTTATTGCTGATACATTGTGAGTGACAAATGTAGTTGTATAGATTCTCTCGGCGGGTTTGTGTATATCATTGTGCCTCTTGTGTATCGTAGGTGTTTGGTAATATGCTTTACAGATTTCCTTCCTTTATTCTGGGCAAATTCTTTCTTGAGGAATTCAGTGAGGCTTAAGGCAACCTAAGACTCTTTCATTTGTGTAATGCAAGTTCCTTTAAGGAGTAGAAACTTTCTTTAGAGCCCACTGAACAAGGGCTTAAAAATTTATATTGAATTGTGGCCTCCTATATTTTTAAGCCATAGCTGTATGATGAAAAATATAGTAATAACAGGTGACAGAGGGATTGAATGGGAGGAGAAAATACTTCCGTTAAATGTGTTCACATTGCAATATCTAATATTGGCTCCAGGGGGTGATCTGTGTCTTTAGCCCTGGGAGGAGAGAATTCTTAGTTTCAGTTCCCAAAACTTTTTGTTTTATGCTCTTCTTAAATTCTCTGTTCATCCCGTCTTCTTAGGCCAAAACCAACCAGGGAAGCCCAAAAAGCCATTATCTGCCAGGTAACATGACAGTTGTAATCTAAAATATGGGTGCCAGATTAGGGATGAAATTGACTTGTGATCTCTTCTGCTCTGTCTAGCAAACATAATGCTAACTTTTCCTCTCTGGGTTTTTGTTCTAGAAAAAGACAGAGAGAAGAGGAAATAGAGGCCCAGGAGAAAGCCAAGCGTGAGCGAGAGTGGCAGAAAAACTTTGAGGTAACCATAGCTGTGCATCCTTTGGGGTTCAAATTGGAGTTTCAGCAGTTGATTTTAAAACGTATAGAGTGGTATCTCAGTCCTCATCAGTCATTTGTTCTAAAAGACATGCTGGGTAAAACCAATGGGTACCGAGCGAACCAAGTGACCCACTATTTCGGCAGGAAGAAATAGTGAGT